TGATATTTTTTATGATTATTATGATAGAACTTACTCTAGTGCAAAGAAAATTTGGAAAGCGTTGCAGAGTAAGTATGATACCGAAGAGGCTGGAGCGAAAAAATATGCGGCTAGTAGATTTTTTGTTTTCAAATGGTGAACAAAAAATCAGTGGTAGACCAAGCTCAAGACTTTATAATGATTGTTGGAGAGCTTAGGTCCGAGGAGGTTAAAATTGGAGATAACCTTATTGTTTGTGGCATAGTGGATAAACTTCCACCTTCTTGGAAGGAATTTCAAAAAACTATACGCCACAAACAAAAGGAAACCTCTCTTGAAACCTTGATAATGAAAATCCTCATGGAAGAAGAGGCAAGTGGCCAAGATGCACTTTTACAAACAGAAGAGAACAACATCACAACGAAGGTAAATTTAATTACTTCAAATAATGCTACTCCTGAATCTCACAAAAATACTTCTTTGAAGCCTAAGAAGAAAAAATTCAAGAAAAATAATGGTAGACGTCCCAAGAAAAATAATGGTGAAAATAACCAAGCAGATTTATATATTCGTCAAGGGGAGAAGCTTGTCGCGTACCACTTGTTGTTGTGTCATGGTAGGGATGAGATCTTCTAGTAGTTCGAATATGACTTATAGCAAAGTGGGAATTAAGATTGGTAGAGGAGGAGTCTGTGGAGGTTGGTGGTCGAAAGGACCTATCAGGTGAAGATGGATTACCTCCGAGACAATGGAAGAAAGTTGGGGTTGGATTAATGTCAGATTCTATTCTAGAGGATAGAAATGGTAAAACGGAATGGGTGGTCATGGAACATTGGGAGGCAGTGGGGGAAGATAGTATGGATCCTACTAAGGATATAAGGATTTCAGATACGGGTGACTTGGGAAGTATAACGTCATGCCCAGATGATATTTGTTGTAAGCTTTTGTTCCCATTCCCTCCATCACTATCCGAGTAAGGTAAGTTGGGTTCTGCACACTTTGTATTAGTGTATGACCATGGAGAGTTTGCTGGAGATGACAAGATTAATGGAGACATTGGATTTGTGTTAGAGGAGGGGTCCAGATGAGGACTCCGAGGGAGAGAGGGAATATTGTGTCTATAGACGAGGCATTATGCATAGTGGGAGTGGTTTCTAGGAGGAGAAAAGGAGAGATGGCACTAGAATTGTTCATAAATGGGGTAGGAGAAAGAAAATTAGTATTTTTGCACATCTATGGCCATAAACTTAGAAGGTGGCTGCATATGGAGGGTAGAAGGTGGTGATGTGTCTATCGATGGAGGAACTGAGTTTGCATGTAAAGAATCAACAATTTCCAATGAAAATCTAATGATGGAATCTGGTACTATAGAAATAACGGCTTGGTTTTTTACTGGATTAGTTTTAGATGAGCTCTTTGGAGTGAAAGGAGTCATGTGTATAGATGAATTGTGAAGGATGAGTTTCTGAGTTGTGTTAGAAGAAAAATCACTGAAAAGAAGGGGTATCAGTGTCGGTTTCTTGTAAATGATTAAAAATATTGAAATTCAGAAAAAAACATTTGATTTTTTAAGCTTGTCATTGGTTGAATTAAGCAACAATTTTTTAGTCGATTAGGGTAAGAAGACTTACTTGTGGGTCCCTCCCTTGCCATTCTGTTGGTTGTTCCTGCAAAAGGTGACTCATTGGTGGCGGTTGATTGGCCTCGATTGCGAGGTGTTTCTTTTCGCAAAACTAAGCCAGCGTTTGGTCATAAATTTCTAAATATTTTTGGCAAATATTATTTGGATAAAGATTTGGGTGAAATTTCACCATGTGTTTGGCCATAGTATTTGGAAAACATATTTTAGTTTTTTAAGAAATATAATTTATACCCATAAGTTTTTAAAACTATCAAAATTAACCATAAATTTGTAGTACATAGCAAAATAGAAATGTCACGTAGCAAGATTCATGACTTCCGCAACAAATCAACAAGCATCATTACAGTAAATATTCACATTGTTAAAAGAGACTAGTACAAATCATGATAATGAAAATACAACTAATAAGAATTTGAAAAAGAAAGAAGAAAACAGAAGAAAATAAATATCGCAATCACTGAAGCACCTCTGCCTTCTCTTCCAGAAGAGTTCAAACTATTATTTAATATAATCTTCCCACATTCTATGAACAATCTCTTCCTGATGAGCTTGCATTTGCAAATCAGATGATCGAGAAGATGAAGCGATGTTACCCTGAGCCGATTAGTCGTTATTTTCATCAACAGCCATATCATCACTTTCATATTCACTGAATATTCCATCACTATTTTGGTGTTCACGTAAAAATTCATTGAGTTCAAACTTTCATCATCAAACTTATCTCGATTTTCAATTTTCTCAAAAAACTCATTCCTAACTTCTATCGATCGTGGACCACTGATGGCATAACCTTTAAATCCAGACTTTCTCGCATCATCATGCAAGACACTTATAAGGATTGATGTTTCATCATCGGCCCATTTATCAGCAGCTGAACCACGTGATTTTTTATTTTTTTGCATTTCTACAATACAACATCAACATGACAACACATCATATGCATAACTTAATTTTTTTTTAGAGTGCACAAAATTTGAAAGCATATCTTTAACTAATGAAAAACGTATGTTGCACCAGTCGAATGATAAAATAAAACACAAGGAGAAAAGATTCTTATCATTCATAACTCTTAAAACCTAGACAAGAGAACAAATTCATACAGATCAATTCAAGCAAGATCAATCTAAAGAAAATTCATACATATACGTTGTTTATAATAGAAAAGTTTATTAATTGAGTTAGTTGGCAGATGGAGAGTTAATTGAGTTGGTTGGTGTTAATAAATAAAGTGTTTTTGTAAAAGATAAAAGTTTGGTGTTGAATTTAGAGTTTTAAAACTTTCTAAATAATGAGATTTTTTGCCAATTTTTTCCCCAAGTTTTACTTGGGAAATCTATGGCCAAACGGCCCCAGTGTTTTTCATGTACTTCCTCTGTTCCAATTTATGTGACACTTTTTTATTTTTCGAGAGTCAAACAGTTTAAGTTTTGACCGGAAATTTGCGCATGAAATTTTCAATTTTTTTGAAATAAAATTTATATATTTGTAAATTACGTAAAAAGTACTATAAGTCACAATAATTGATAATTTAAAATCTTTAAAAGAACTATGAAAAATTTACGGTCAAAGTTAGACTTGTTTGAATCTCGAAATAAAAAAAGTGTCACATAAAATGAGACGGAGGGAGTATATTTTTTGTAGAAGAAGGTAACTCATGAATTGTTAAATCTGCTAAACTTGTTGGAATGTTCATATCCAGATCTTGTGGCTTTGGTGAAGGCCTTTTGGTGTGTGCACAAGTAAGTTTTGTGTGTCCTAACCGTCCATAGGAAGTACATAAAATATTCATCCTTAGTAGAGGACAGTTTGTCGATGATCGCCGATGTAAATATGAGACTTAAAGGGGTTGCTCTAAAGGCACCTCGATATAGGGTGAAGCTACAACTAAATCAGGGTGTGCAAGTGAACACCCTTTATCGGAAAATTATATGGTATATACAGATCACAAATTATAAAATCTAAGCATATACCTACCTTTGCACACCCTTGACATGATTAGTTTGTTTGGCACAACGGTAAAAAGCAGGCCATAAGTCACTTGAGGTCGGGGGATCTAGTCTTGCGTTTTTGTTCTTTAGGACTTATTAGATACTATTGATTAATTACTATTAAATATAATTGAAGCTTCAATTAGATATATTTCTTTGTATTAGATATTAATAAGGTTATAAACAAGCTTCTACCAAAATAATTAGAAGAAAAAGTTAAATGCAATTACATATATACCATTCCCTAATGCCAAACAAGTTATTATAGAGTTAAATTTGGATAAAAAAAGTTAATAAGGAGTTAACTTCTTCCATAATTTTAAGTAAATTCGAAAAACTAACAAAGATTTGAATTGTTTAATTAGAATTCTCATACATTCTTTATCAAAATTATATCCATTAAAATCAAGTAGCAATAAATTAATGATTTTTTTATGTGTCATATGTGTTCTCTGAAAATCTTGACCTATCCATTTTAAAACTATTATTTTAGTTTATACAATTATTGTGTCACTAGGTTGAGTAAGATGGATGCTAACCAACCCGCTGAAATATTTTGTTAGTTACTACTTTAAATTTGCAACACCCTTCATAAAATCTTTGATTCCGCCACTACCTTGATACAAATGCATGCATATTTACCTCTAGTGGTGGAGGAAGTACATGTATCAATTTTGAGTAGCTTTCCAAGGATGTTGCCCACTCGAGTCAGTATTTCATGGTCGTGGAATTTCGATGGTAGATCCAGTAAACGAATCCAGATTGTCGAGTATGATAGTTGAGTGCTAGAAGCCACAAATCTGGGTTCTCATTTGCGAACCAAAAGAAAGTAAATTAGAATGAACCATGGACCACCATGTAGAGTTGTGGCCATGTTTGTTTCTTGGTGAGAAATTATTTCCAAGATCAATCATATCAAATTGCTCAGTAGGCTTCAGGGAGATAAATTAATGCTGCTGCTTCACTAAGCAGATGCTTCAGAGAATGTACAACAACATTGTCAACTAATTAACAATGCACAATAAGAAAAGCAAATGGCTCCAAGTTATGTTGCATGATCTCTGAGTCCTTGTATACACAAAAAGCTGGACATTAAATCTTATCTTCGTCGTATGACACCATAAAAGCTGGATCCACTAATATAACCAAAAAAAATATACTGCTAAGAAAGAGTGAAAAGATGGTAGTCTAAGGTTCTTTCTGCTATCCCGGAAAAAAGTTTCACCTAAAGATGGCCTAAATTAGCTTTTTCTTTTGGAAATATTGCTTCAAGTACAATATTTGCAGAACTGATGCCAAAATGCAGACTCCCAAAGACATGATACTGAACCAAGCTACACGTGCATTTGTCGTTTCACTCACTGACCGCATCTCTGATTCCCTGAAGGGGCAAAAAGAGCTGAGAGATGAAGAACAAATGCAAACAAATAAAAGTTGTTGCCTCCATAACCTAATACATACCTGGTCTTCAGGTAAATCAAATTTTCATGAATGGCCTCCACAGCTCCTTCAAGCTTTCTCAGCTCAAGCTCAACACCCTACCATATGTAGAAAGTGTGAAAAATTCATAGAGCTTTGAGAATACATCTGGATATCAACTTATAAGAGCAAAAAAAAACAAAAGAACCATATATGATCCTTTCCCAGTGTACAAATACATAGGCAGGAATATCCATTACAGTATGCCAAACATATACCAATTTCAACAAAAACTTGCAAGTATTTTCCATAGATGATTTTCTTGAATTAAGTCATAAGGTGATTATTTTGTCCTCCACCACAAAAAGAGGCGTGATAGCATCCACAGTGGCATACCTTCATGTGAGATTGACAGGTTTTAACGGGAAATAAAGAAGATACTTATCGTGGAAGAAATCCCAAGAATTGTGGAGAAGAATTGGCTAAGTGCTACACATATTTCATGTTTCAAGTCCAAGCCTTAGAGTAAGATAGGGCCCCAAAGGAGAGCCCAAGGACCTGCCACATGGAGGCCCAAAGGAGCCAAAGTGAACCTGATTCGCATACCCAAAGTTGCTGAAGAAATCAAAGCCCAAAAGGCTGAAGTTCATGCCCAAAACAAGGCTGAAATCTCATGTTCAAAGGGGCTGAAATATGCAACTTTAGGCTTGTGTTATAGTTAGTAGTTTGGAAACTATTCCTCATTTCGTAAGCGTTAGAGTGGGTAAAGTCTCACATTGGTTGGAGAATAGACTACTGGTTTTGCTTATATGGACTTGGGCAATCCTCCCCTCATGAGCTAGCTTTTGCGGTTGAGTTAGGCCCAAGTGTCATATTCATGATTATCAGAGCCAGGTCCATCCCCGTTTGGCTCCCGGTCCACACTCCACTCGGGCTTGGGCGTGAAGGGGGGTGTTGGAGTGGTTAAGAGTGCCACAATGGTTGGGGAATGGACTAGTGGTTTGCTTATATGGACTTGGGCAATCCTCCCCTCATGAGCTAGCTTTTGGGGTTGAGTTAGGCCCAGATATCATATATTTATGGTAAGTGACATTATTTTTTACCTTGTTTCCTAGTTTCAAAGTTTCCTTATTAGGATTTAATATTTATTATTTCCATTAAAATAGGATTCAAAGCACATCATATTTGGGATAGGATTTCCCTATACATATAAGGGTAAATTTTGTTATTTTTAGTTTGAATAAAAATATTATGAATATTATTTGAGAGGTTTCTAAACCCTCAGGGGTTGGCCTGCTGGCAATTGACTTGAGCCTTGGGGTTTGCTCCCTTTCAAGGTCTCAAGTTCGAAACCCACTGGGTGCAAACAATTTCTGAGGGCCATCGGACTGGGTAAAACCTGAATTAACCGTGGTGCACTTGCGGGAAACTCCTTGCCGAGGGCCTGTGCACCCCGGGATTAGTCGGGGCTCAAAGAGACTCGGACACCCGGTGCAAATCAAAAAAAAATTATTTGAGAGGTTTCTCTTCTTTACACATTTGTGAGTGTTTACTTGGAATTTATCTTACAAACAATTCTTTAAGAGGTAAGATTAAGTTTTGACTTGTTTTATTTTTTTTAATATAACTATGGTGTCCGGACTTAGCTTGAGCGCACCTCGACTAATTTCACAAGATACCTGCCACTTCCCATAGTAAGAGGGACCACATAACTCTATCCACCAAGGTTAGGACAGACGAGAAGAAACCACCTAGTGCTTTTTGTCTCTGTTGGGATTTGAATCTGATACCTTATAGTTCTCACCACTTCATTGACCATTAGGCCACACCCTTGGGTACCTTAACTTGATATCTTCGGTTTCTATTTAAGTTAAAGGAGGTAATTAATCTTATACTAATTATTGTCTCTTATCCGCTAAAATTAGGATTAAACCCTCAAATACCCAAATGTTTATCGTTACCGACTTTAAACACGTAAAGGAGTTTGGCAAACAAAGTAGCGACAATAAAACTCAAGACCAAAGACCACTATAGTAAATGCTTCATAAGTAATTGCAACTTTCTATCTGTCATGATCAGCATATCCACAGGGTATGCCATTCAAAATATAGAATCACAAGAAATGCAGGAGAAGATCTAGAACAATCTTTACTATTCTTTTCAATTTCATATATTCTCGATTAATTCCAAGATTATCATCAACTCAAATAGGTGTTGCCTCACTAGATGACCTGTTCATTATCATCCATTTTGTTGGACGTAGGACATTTTATGCTACCAACAAGCAACATGTATCAAAGTCATTTATTTATCTCAAAGTATGGGATGGATAGAGATTTTAGTAATTTGTAGTCTTGCTCTCGCAGTGACTACTACTCTCTATGAGGTTGGATCCAAGATAACATATGTCTGTACTCATTTGAACTATTCAATTTCTCACCTCTATCTTCTCTTTTCTGGCAACTGATTCCCAATCCTTGGCAGCAATTCCATTTTTCCAGTCAATGTTTACACTGAGACTCCCACCTCCTGGATTATCAGCCCAAAAACATGCTAGGTAGTTGCCAGCCTCTGTAGTTGTGAAGGCAAACTGACTGTGTGTTATGTTCTCCTTATGATGAAGAGTGTTTCCATATGGCGAGGTGACCTGCAAAGTAACACACAAGACATGATTTTCGGTATTGCAACGAAGCAGTCAGCTAAGCCTGTCTGAACAGTTGACATAAATCTATCCATATAAACCAATATACAAGCAAACTGTCTATCTCTGTAACATGGCAAACCCTGAGAATTAAGGGACAAAAGACGGGAAACACACACTGCCTTAAATTTAGTGGCTCGCCAAAAGTTATTTCTTTACATGAAAGGTCTTCAGTATTAGTTGCATAAATATCAATACCACCTGAAACTACTTAGAATTCCAGAACCCTACTCTACTTTCAAGAGCATGTGCGCATGAGTTTTTTCTTTAGTTGTTAACAAACTGTGTTGGTAGTTAAAGAGGCGGTACTAACACAGGAGAATCTAATGAAGAGGGGAATACATATGTGTCCTAGATGTTTTGTTTTGAGCAACAGGCAGAGACAATCAACCATCTGTTTCTTCATTGCAAGGTGGTTAGACAACTGTGGCACTTATTTACCAGCTTCAGGGGCACAAACTGGACCATGCCACAAAGGGCAAGTCAGGCTATAGAAAGCTGGAACAATGAAGGCAGTGGCAGTACAGACCAAAGCAGATGGAGGATTGTCCCAGCAGTGATTTGGTGGACCATATGGAAGGAGAGAAATATGAGATGCTTTGAGAGTATCAATATTTCCTTTACACAGGATTAAAATGAACTGCATAATCACTTTTTGCTATTGGTGCAGTTCGGAGTATGTAGATGATCCTATAGCGGTTAGAGATATCCTAGGTCCTTTGTAAGATGAAGTAGGATCTAGTTTAGTTTTGTTTTAAGTACACGCAACTGTATGTAGCTCCATGATGTAAATTTGGGATCCCAGCCTTTAGTGCTAAAGATTAATACACAAAACTGTTACCTTTGTCAAAAAAAACTGTGTGAACAATAACTACATAAAAAGATACAATGTCCAGCTTTTTATTCTATATTTCTAGATTTATACTAATCCTGCAATGTAGATATGCAGATATGGATGTAAAGCAGAATAAACACATGATAGAATTTCAACAGTAACACAAATTACACAGAGCAAATTGAAAATACTCTAAAATGCCTTCGAAGCTGCCCCTAGGGATTTGGTCTAGTGATAGAGTGATGTGTGGGTTAGGTGCATGCCAGGAGTTCGTACCTCGCCTCAAATAAAAAACCTGGTATTTATGTGGAGAAGGGTATAGAGGCTGCGGGATCATTATCCAGAAAAGAATGTATGCATCAAACTTTTTTTTTTTTTGAAACTGGTAAGGTTGTATTCTTCAGCATTAAGGGCATACTGGCCACCACCAAAAAGTGTCAATTACAAACTTCCTATCAAATCTACAATCTGGTCTGTATCTACTATACACAACTGTTTACACCAAAAAAGTAGAGATACTATACAATTCCATTTGACCTTGTGTATGGAATTGGATCTATTGTCGAAACATCTACTGTTCCTTTCCTTCCAAACTGACCACCATATACATGATGGTATTAACCTCCACCATCTCTTCTGGCTCTTGGTACCTCCTCTCCTTACCCAGCTCTTCAACACGTTTGATGTACGTTCTGGCATTGTCCAATTCAGATTTGAGATGCTAAGGAACAAATTCCAGATTTGAGCAGTGTAATTACAGTGCAAGAAGAGGTGGCTGTTAGTTTCACTTGTCAAATTGCATAAAAAACACCTAGGGACCAGCTGTCTACCCTTCTTCTGAAGTACTTCTTGTGTTAAACAAGCTCTCTTTATCACTAGCCAAGTGAAGCATTTCACTTTTGTAGGAATATCCCCCTTCCAAAAATAGTTCCAGAAGTGTGTTGGTCTCCCTGCCATCACCTGGAGACCTCTTCTGTAAGCACTGTTGACTGAGAAAAGGCCATCTTTGCTGTGCTTCCACAACAT